CTTCTTCTTCTTCTTCTTCTTCTTCTTCTTCTTCTTCTTCTTCTTCTTCTTCTTCTTCTTCTTCTTCTTCTTCTTCTTCTTCTTCTCCTTCTCCTTCTCCTTCTCCTTTTCCTTCTCCTCCCCATCCTCCTCCTTCTCCTCCTCCTCCTCCTCCTCCTCCTCCTCTGAAATAACTCTAATCTTACATTTTTTTACTCCACCCCCCAAAAAAGTTCTTAACCCTCAAAACTGCCATGTGCATCTATTAAGTCAGCCTTCAAAAGTTTGCAGGGACAGTTGCTCTCTGACATACGATATTTTTCAAATAATGAGTAAAGAATGGAAGAATGATAGATAAGGGCAGACTTATTTTACTACTGCTCTCTTTCTGCAAGCGAATCTGTTTCTGAAGGTCCCGGGGCTTATGGAGCAAAGGAACTGGATGAGGCTGTCGGGCAGGCCCAGAGGAAGATAGAGAGAGCCTTTTGGAAGAGTTGGAGGCAGCAACAGCATGCTCCAGGGGCAAAAAGGAGCAAGACCCCTTTAAGGAAAAGGTGGAAAAGACAGGATCAGAAAAAGGAAAGCGTTAGGGTTAGGGTTAGGATTAGGGTTCCATCTATCCTATTTGCCATTGTTCACTCCCTAGAGCATTGGTGGCGAACCTATGGCACAGGTGCCAGAGGCGGCACTCAGAGCCCTCTCTGTGGGCACACACGCCGTCGCCCCAGTCCTAGGCCTTCAGCTGGGTTTTATAAAACCTTTTTGCTTTAGGCCTCGGCCGCCGTGTACAAAAAAAAAAAGGTTCAATCAATCAGTCAATTTCAACTTCTCGCGGGAAAAAAAAAGATCTTGCAAAGTGGGAATTGATTGATTGAACTTTTTAGTCCCACCCAGTCTGCCGTTACCACCGCAGCCACGCCCACCCAATGGGCCACACCCACCCGGCACCCGACGATGCATAAGTGAGTTTTGGGTTGCAGTTTGGGCACTCGGTCTCTAAAAGGTTTGCCATCATTGCCCTAGAGACTAAAATGGACGTTCTGAAACTTGAGCTGGCCACGAACAAGGAGTGTACGTATATTGGAGGTGGTGACCCTTTGAGAGCTGTATGCAACGAAATTTCATTTTGATATATGCCGATTGGTGTACATTCAAAGTGACAATAAAGTTGTTGTTGTTGTTATTATTATTACCATTATTATTAAAAGACTATCATTTTTGTCCAAAGGAAACTAAGGAGAGATGCATTGGCAGGTATATGTTTTCCTTTTTGTTAATCATGGTGTTTACTTTTTCCTTTTAGACATTTTTTAACTGCAACACATTGTGGTGGGACCAGCCACGCTCCCCAGATGCCCAATCCAGCTGCCCATCTGCCTTTCTACTATGGCAGCATCTCCCGATCCGATGCAGAGGACCACCTCAAATTGGCAGGGATGTCTGATGGGCTATTTTTGCTGCGACAGTGCCTTCGCAATCTTGGCGGATATGTCCTCTCTGTGGTGTACAAACTCCAGTTCTACCATTATCCCATTGAGCGTCAGATGAATGGGACCTTTGCCATCTCTGGAGGGAAAGCCCACTGCGGCCCTGAAGAGCTCTGCGAATTTTATTCCAAGGATGCAGATGGACTTTGCTGTACTTTGCGGAAGCCTTGCAACCGTCCCAATAGCCTGGAACCCCAGCCAGGTATTTTTGACAACATCCGGGAGAATATGGTTCGCGAATACGTCCGGCAAACATGGAACTTAGAGGTTTGAGCATAATTTTTATTTTATTTTTATTAGAGAATTTTTTCTTTTTATATGTTGCACAATTTCCCTCATTAGATGGTTTACCAAATCCAATGCCTAATGACAAAGGTAAATTCCCAATAATGTCATATTTTATGTACAGTATGCACACATATACACACCTTCTTCCCCACCCCAGAGAGAGAGAGAAAGAGAGAGATACACAGACACAAACACCACACATATACATATATATCCACTTAGGGGCTATGCACGTTTTGAAAAAGATTTTGAAAAACTACTACCTATTAAAGCACTGTGTCTTTTTTCAGGTTTCTGAGTTTGAAAAAAACACATGGCTGTGTAATGAATAGCAGCTATGTTTGAGTAATCAAAATAGTGAAATAACTGTTATAAGCCATTTCGGATAGCCAAATCTAAAAGATTTAGGATGCTTACTTCCAGTGAATCCTTTCAGAGGGGCAGCATTTGCCAAGCCCAGCTGCAATGGTATAGGTTGTCCTTGACTTACAGCCATTCAACATTATGACAGCACTAAAAAAAGTGACTTACAACAGTCCTTACGACTGTCACAGAGTCCCCATGGTAACGTGATTGCAATCCAGGTACTTGGCAACTAGTATGTATTTATAACAGTCGCAGTGTCCCAGGGTCATGTGATCAACATTTGTGAACTTCCCAGCCAGCTTCTGACAAGCAAAGTCAATGGGAGAAGTTGGATTTACTTAATAACCAGGAGGTTTACTTAACAACTGTGATGATTTGCTTAACAACTGTGGTAAAAATGTTGTAAAATCAGATGCAATTCACTTAAGAACTGTCTTGATTAGCAGTGGAAATTCTGGTTCCAATTGTGGTCGTAAATTGGGGGCTAACTTTAAAATAAAGCTTTGCTAATCCATTAGTCTAAACCAGGGGTAGGCAACCTTGGCTCTTTTACGACTCGTGAACTTCAACTCCCAGAATTCCTGAGCCAGCATGGCTCAGCATGGAAACCTCTCCATTTCTCCTAAGCATGGCTGGCTCAGGAATTCTGGGAGTTGAAGTCCACGAGTCATAAAGGAGCCAAGGTTGCCTACCCCTGGTCTAAATTAACTGTCTAAATTATCCGTTCTTCCCAGCAATCTGAATAAAAAAGCTAGAGGTGGGGGATGGAGGGTGGGGCACAATGTAGAAGAATATTTCAGTACAAAACTAATTTACCCCCAACCCTAAACCTGGCAGTTTAATTTCTACAGTTTAATTCAGTGCAAAAGAGGAAAGGATATTCTGGTATTATACTTTCCTCCTAATATATATATATATATAAATTCAGTGTTTTGGAATGGTTTGATTCTTCATTTTATGAATTAAAAATTTCCTTCCCCCTCTTCTTTTTTTTTAATAGGGAGAGAATCTTGAAGTAGCAATCATAAGTCAAGCCCCCCAAGTGGAGAAACTCCTGGCCACCACGGCTCACGAGAAAATGGCTTGGTATCATGGCCCCATCTCCCGAGAGCAAGCGGAAAGCCGGCTCTACTCAGGAGCACAGCCTGATGGGAAATTCCTGTAAGCATTTAAGGATGCAGGAAAAACTTCCCCTTTATTTCTGAAGAAATATTTTTCTCCCCACTACCTGCTGTTCCATATTCAGGACACACATTTACACAATTTTACATTCTGGCTAAGCAGAATAGGTAGTCCTCAATTTACAACCATTCTATTTATTGACCATTCAAAGTTACAACGGTGCTAAAAAAACTGTCACAGAGTCCCCATAGTCACGTGATCAAAATTTGGGCGGCATATATTTACAACAGTTCCAGCATCCTGGTGTCATGTGATCGGCCTTTGCAACTTTCCCAGCCAGCTTCTGACAAGCTAAGTCAATGCAGGAAGCTGGATTCGTTTAACAACCATGGTGATTTGTTTAACAACCGTGACAAAAAATCCCGGGGTCATGTGATCGCTTTTTGCCACCTTCTGACAAGTAAAGTCAATGGGGAAGCCAGATTCACTTAACAACTGTGTTACTAACGTAAAAGTTGCAGTGGTTCACTTAACAACTGTGGCCAGAAAGCTTGCAAAATGGGCAAAATTGACTTAATAAGCGTTTCGCTTAACAACAGAAATTTTGGGCTCAGTTGTGGTCATAAATTGAGGACTACCTGTATCAAATCACATGTAAAGTAATATATGAAATCTCAGGACAATAGAGCTCAGCCAAAGCTTGCATTCATGATTAGACCAAATTCCACTGTGAATAATGATGTCATTACACAGATGATATAAACCGCAGCTAAAGGCTTAAATCAGTCATATTTACATATTGTGGGTTGGATGTTAATGAGTAATAGATACCCAATTAACTCTGATTCAGAGAGTGCTGCTTTGAATAGGTCATTCTATTCTGTTCCATCAGGGATTAGACCCATCAGGGATTTATTTTGTCTTTGTTATAAATGATTGGTTTTATGTTTAATGTACACAAAACACAAACAGTGTTTAACGTATAAACATTCATTAAAATTGGTGTAACTGCAAACATTAAAATACGTGACGTATTAATACCACTTTACAATGCCTTGGTAAGGCCACACTTGGAATACTGAATCCAATTTTGGTCACCACGATATAAAAAAAGATGTTGAGACTCTAGAAAGAGTACAGAGAAGAGCAACAAAGATGATTAGGGGACTGGAGGCTAAAACATATGAGGAACGGTTGCTGGAACTGGGTATGTCTAGTCTAATGAAGAGAAGGACGAGGGGGGACTTCCATCTATGCTTCTGAGCTTCTTCAAACTGGAAACTAATCAAGGAGAGAAGCAACCCAGAGCTAAGGAGAAACTTCCTGACAGTTAGAACAATTAACCAGTGGAACAACCTGCCTCCAGAAGCGGTGAATGCGCCAACACTGGAAATTTTTAAGAAGAAACTGGACAGCCATTTGTCCGAAATGGTATAGGGTTTCCTACCTGAGCAGAGGGTTGGACTAGATGACCTCCAAGGTCCCTTCCAACTTTATCATTATTATTATTATTATTACTTTGGTCTGCAAGATATATTTGAATCAGTTGAAAGATGCCAAAATAATCCCTTAAAATTAGATTTTACTTCGTAGTTGTTTCTTAGCAATTAAAATCATTCAAATGTAAGATTTCAATTGTGTAAAAGAAATTGAACTTTCTACTACAGAAAACCACGTTATTCCAGGATTCTGTAATATACTATCAGGCAATATCCAAGCCAGCTTTATCATTAACTTTTTCAAAATATCAGTTACCAGGATTTGTAGTGAAAGCATGCATCTTTCTTTTATATATAAAATTGCTGTTTATACTATATTTATTTACATCTCCAGGGAGCTAGTTTTCTAAAAATGGTCATGGCTTTCTAAAATCTGCTTTGGCAGCAATTTCTCAATAGTTTTTTTTTTAATGATTCCAATAAATCTCTTTCTGTCAACAGTCCTGAGACCATCCAGTTCCAAGCCATTTTGAGAAAGTCAAATGACAGGCATTTTATGGGAGGCATTTTATGGGAAATTAAAATTGAACTGAGAAATCACCATATCTAAAGTGGGCTTGTATATCTCTCTTGCTGGAGAATCTCCCAGTGCCTCTTAAGGAATGGAACAAAATTGATTAAGTTTGCATTTAAATGCAAATGTATCTAGCCTTATATTTTCAAAGTGATATAAAGCAAAATATTCCTTTTTTGCCCTCCATTATGTTAAAATCTTATCTTCTGCAGTCTAACATTAAAATTTTATGCCTGAAACGTTTATGCCTGCCACAGACATAATTGATTGGTGCAATACTGTAACCTTGTTATATATGGATATATAATGTGCGGTCCTTGTGGCTCTCAGTTTTCATGCAACAGACATTTCATTACTAAACTAGGGAACATCCTCAGTGCTGTTGATGTTGATGATGCTACCTAGTTTGACACTAGAATAGTTGGAAAAAAAATGAAGGACAGGTACATCGACTTACAAGAGTTCATTTAGTGACATTCAAAATTACAACGGCATTGAAAAAAGTGACTTATGACTGTTTTTCACACTTACGACCACTGCAGCATCCCCGATGGTCACGTGATCAGAATTCAGGCACTTGGCGACTGACTCATATTTATGACTTAATAAGTTAATACTTAATAGCTGCAGTGATTCACTTAACAAGTATGGCAAGAAAGGTCATAAAACAGGGGAAAATTCACTTAATAAGTGTCTTGGTTAGAAATTTTGGTCTCAGTTGTGGTTGTAAGTTGGGGACTACTTGTATAAGAGGTAGATCTGCAAAAATCTGTGTAATGTTTGAAGAAAGCAGCACAAAAACACACAATTTAACAGAATAACAGAATAATAGAGTTGGAAGGGATCTTGGAGGTCTTCTAGTCCAACCACCTGCTCAGGCAGGAAACCCTATACCATGTCAGACAAATGGTTGTCCAATCTCTTCTTAAAAACCTTCAGTACTGGAGCATTCACAACTTCTGAAGGCAAGCCATTCTACTGGTTAGTTGTTCTAACTGTCAGGAAATTTCTCCTTAGTTCTAGGTTGCTTCTCTCCTTGATTAATTTCCATCCATTGCTTCTTGTCTTGCCTTCAGGCGCTTTGGAGAATAGCTTGACTCCCTCTTCTTTGTGGCAATCCCTGAAATACTGGAATATTGCTATCATGTCACCCCTAGTTTTTCTTTTCATTAAACTAGACATACCTAATTCCAGCAACCGTTCCTTATATGTTTTACCCTCCAGTCCCCTAATCATCTTTGTTGCTCTTCTCTGTACTCTTTCTAGAGTCTCAACATCTTTTTTACATCGTGGTGACCAAAACTGGATGCAGTATTCCAAGTGTGGCCTTACCAAGGCATTGTAAAGTGGTATTAACACTTCACGTGATCTTGATTCTATCCCTCTGTTAATGCAGCCTAGCACTGTATTGGCTTTTTTGGTAGCTGCAGCACACTGCTGGCTCATATTTAAGTGGTTGTCCACTAGGACTCCAAGATCCCTCTCACAGTTACTACTATCCCTCTGTTAAATACAGCTTAGGAAAATTTAATCTAAACTTTTTTTTAGAAAAAAGTTCTGAAGCTCATTCTATTGATACATTTGCAAAAAGAGAGAGACCCAGATCAAAATTAATGTGACAGATTTGCACCTAAGAGAAAGCTGACAGAATTACCAATCTTATTTTAAGTTGCTACATTCAGAGTCATACAGATCGTTGGTGGAAATGTAGCTGTTTCTACTCTTCCTCTCCCTTTCCCTTCAGGATGAGACAAAGGAAAGAACAAGGAAGCTATGCCCTCTCCCTTGTGTACGGAAAGACTGTTTATCACTATCGAATAGGTCAAGGAAAATCGGGGAAATACTCTGTGGAAGAAGGAACCAAATTCGATACGCTGTGGCAGGTGAGATTGCAGTGAAGACTGAGCGGTTTGCTTGTCTGTTGGCTTATTTATTTCCCCATCTTTATTATATTTACGAATAACTCAAGGCGGTGAACATATCCAACATACCTCCCTCCTCCTATTTTCCCCATAACAACAATCCTGTGAGGTGGGTTGGGCTGAGAGAGAGTGACTGGTCCAAAGTCACCCGACTGGCTTTCACGGTTAAGGCAGAACTTGAATTCACAATCTCCTGCTTTCTAGCCTGGCGCCTTATTGGCTCTCTGGTTGGTAAGTGAGATGAAGCTAAGATCCATCTCTTTGTATTGGAGTGAGTGGGTATGCTGTGTGTTAGTCATACTATAGTTACAGATGGTTCTCGACTTACAACCATTTGTTTAGTGACCGTTCAAAGTTACAACGGCACTGAAAAAAGTGACTTATGACTGTTTTTCACACTTACGACCATTGCAGCATTCCCATGGTCACATGATCAAAATGTGGACATTTGGCAATTGGTTCATATTTCTCACTGTCACAATGTCCCAGGGTCACCTGATCACTGTTATGGTTCCGGCTAATGAAACACTTCAAAGAACTTCCAGGCATTGATTTTCCTAAAAGTAATTTATTGTTACAAAATGTCGGCACAGGCATAACGAAAGTTGATGCTAAGATCTGAAATTCTCTTCCTCTGAGCAGTTAAATTATCAGCATGTTCCCTCCCTAAATTAGCTGTCATATATCACGTTATCCAATTAGTGTGAAGGTCAAAGGTTTCCTTCCTCTTTCTTTCCCAGGCTTTTCCCCCCACCCTCTTCTGCTCTGCATTAACCCTAAAAATACCAGACAGTTCTGCATATTGTCAAAGCAAAAATATACGGTATTTGCAGCGTTGACAATCACCTTTTTGTGACCTTCTGATAAGCAAAGTCAATGGGAAAGTTATTCGCTTAACAACCATGTTACTAATGTAAGAACTGCAGTGATTCACTTCACAACTGTGGCAACAAAGGTCGGAAAATAGGACAAAGCTCATTTAACAACTGTCTTGTTTAGCAACAGAAATTATGGGCTCAATTGGGGTCATAAGTCGAGGACCACCCGTATTGGCCAAATGGAACCCAGGAAGGGCAGCTTTGCTCCAATAAGTTACTGTAAAATGTATTTCTGACTTTTCCACATAACATTTTGAGATGTTTAATTTCCCTCTCCAGTTTCTCAGAGGGATACCAGCAAATAGGGACGCCAAAAAGGCAATTACCTTGCTTGTTCATTAGTTTTCCTGCCTCTTTCTCTCTCTTCATGTTCGTCTCCTTCAAAATTCTTTCACCAGCTGGTCGAGTACCTCAAACTCAAACCTGATGGCCTTATCTATTATCTGAAAGAAAGCACCCCGAATCCTGAAATGCAATCAGGTAAGATTTTAACTTCTCTCCTACCTCTGAGAAAAGGATTGGCAAGCCTGGTTATTTCCTTCCCTGTGCATATGTTTTAGTTATCATGAAATCCATATTCCTTAAAAATTGTATTACAGTTTTTAAAAAAGATCTGCAGAAAAGGATGCTCTCAAAGAGTTTTTCAAAGCTAACGTCCTCCAGATGTTATAGGTTTCAACTCCCCAAATTGCCTCCTCTAGCATAGTACAAGGGAAAAGGTCATACATATTGGCTAAGGCAGTGATGGCAAACCTTTCAGAGACCGAGTACCCAAAAGCTGGCCCCGCCCCCGCTCCACCCTCTACCCCACCCCTGCTCTGCCCCCACCCCATTCTCCCACCCCGCCTGTCCGCAGGGCCACTCACCGCCTTCAGGGCCTGCCGCAGATTGCCCAGGCAGCCCAGCAGTGCCAGGGCGGCCACGCCCTCTGCAGTATCAACTGTGCGGGATGGGGCATGATACCCCGCAGTATCAACTGTGCGGGATGGGGCATGAGGGCAGAATCTTGTCTACGCTGCCTGGCTGCCATGTCCTTGGCTGCGCTGCTCCGTGTGGGCCATGCTCGGGGGCGACTCTCCTCCAGGGGGGCTGCTGGTGAGGAGGGGGTCGGGAGGGGAGGCGAGGCGAGGCAGGGGCAACGGCACATGTGCCCACAGAGAGGGCTCCGAGTGCCACCTCTGGCACGCGTGCCATAGGTTCGCCACCACTGGGCTAAGAGAATCCGGAAACTGACTGTCCACACATCTGGAGGTTTCCACTATACTCAATTTTGTTAACCTTAATTCCTTTTATTATAGAAGACTCCCGGATTTTAATTAACAGAATCTCCATTGTTAACACAAATAACAATGGAGATAATGGACATCCTTGTCTAGTTCCTTTTTCAATTTTGAATGCTTCTGTTACCCCCCCCCCCCTTAACTATAATCTGTGCTGATTGCTGCTGATAAGTAGCCTTAAGGGCGGACAAAAATTCCCCCCCAAAATTCATTCTATCTATAACTTGAAACAAAAACCCCCAGTCTAATTGATCAAATGCTTTTTCCGCATCTAAAAAGATAAAAGCAGCAGGAATTTGATTATTCTTATCCAAATATTCAATTAAATTAGTAATTTGTCTTACATTATATTTCATATATCTTCCAGTTATAAATCCTGATTGATCACTATGAATCAATTGATTCAACACTTGCATTAATCTATTTGCCATTACTTTTGAAAAAATCTTATAATCTGTATTCAATAAAGATATAGGTCTATAATTCTTAGGTTGAGTCAAATCCTGACCCTCTTTAGGTATTAAGGATATAAAGGCAGTTCTCCAGGAACTGTTTTTTTTTAATGTTTTATATTGTTAGTTGCTCAGAGTCATGAACCTCTGATGGGAAGCCATGCCAAATGAAAGAATGAATTAATAAATATGCTACTGACCACTAGGAGGCACTAAATGATCAGTTTGGCTCTTGCTGGAACTCATTAGGTATAAGCAACCCTTATATTCTGATCTATAGCATCCATGGCACACAGCCTAGTAAACATTGAGGGAGACCTTGCGAATTAGTTGTTGACCGTGTTTTCCCCGCAGATGTGATGTCCTTCCTATAACCTTGCCCAGGGCATACAGGTAGTCCTCAACCTACAACCACAATCGAACTCAAAATTTCTGATGCTAAGTGAGACAGTTGTTAAGTGAATTGCCCCATTTTACAACCTTTCTTGCTGCAGTTAGAAACTAACCAAGGAGAGAAGCAACATAGAACTAAGGAGGAATTTCCTGACAGTTAGAACAATTAATCAGTGGAACAACCTGCCTCCAGAAGCAGTGAATGCTCCAACACTGGAAGTTTTTAAGAAGAGACTAGACAGTCATTTGTCAGAAATGGTATAGGATTTCGTGCCTGAGCAGGGGGTTGGACTAGAAGACCTCCAAGGTCCCTTCCAATTCTAGTATTATTATTATTATTATTATTATTATTATTATTATTATTATTATTATTATTATTATTATTATTATTATTATTATTAGTTGTTAAGTGAATCGCTGGAATTGTTAAGTTAATAACACGGTTGTTAAGTGACTCTGGCTTCCACTTTGATCCCGTGATTATGGGGATGCTGCAACGGTTATAGGTGTGAAAAACAGTCACTAGTCACTTTTTTTCAGTGCCATTGTAATTTCACACTGTCACTAAATGAATTGCTGTAAGTCGAGGTCTGCCTTTATACACAAACAAATTTCCCTATTGTTCCTTTCCTTCCTTCTTTCCAGCGCCAGCCACTCCAGTGCCACCAGCGCATCCATCTACATTGGTAAGTCTGGTTTTTATTTGCTCAGTGAATGCATTTATGGATCGCTTCTCATTCATGTTGCTCACAAAGGTGTTTGCAGCTATCATAAAACAACCTAAAAATAATCTTCTCCAAAGGCAGAAATCAGGGGAAGTAAGCACAGGGGAAGAACGAGCTAATAAGATGAAAGATGAAAGAATTATCCCTATGGCACAGAAGCCTTATTCCTTCACAAAATGGCTGACTCTGTGACAAGGCAGGATAGATAGGCAGGTAGGCAGAGACAGAGACAGAGACAGAGACAGAGACAGAGATATATTTCTGAGCAGGGGATCACATACAAAAACAAAGCCCTGGGTTGTAGCCCTTCACGGTTTTTCTCAGAACGCCCAGAGCTCTATTCTTGGAAATGAAGAGGATGCTAAAGGCTAGTGCTTTGTCTTCAGCCCAACAGTTTTCTTGTTTGTTTGAGGCTAAAAACCATCTTTAGAAAAGAAAAGCAGGGCGAGGGTTTCTCAGGAAGTGAGGGAGGCACCAGCAGCCACTGTGCTAAGCAACTGAAACTTGGAGGTTACAAATACATGAATTAGGAGGGCCAGACGGATGCGGGCAATACACTGGCCTAAACTGGTAAGGGATGCTCATAGCCACAAGGGTTTCAGATCTTAGCAACAGCCCTGAGTCCGGTTGTAAATCTCAAGCCTGTTTCTTCAATGGGAGTTTAGTGACATGCAGAGAACAAGAAAAAAATTGCCTTTTGCTTCCTGGTGGGGGAGGGAGGGAGTGGACAAGATATTGTTAGTAGTCTGCTATTCAGATGAACCCCATACCTACCAGTTGCCAGGAAAATCCTATTGAAATCATTTTATGAAAAATAATAATAATAATAATAATAATAATAATAATAATAATGATGATGATGATGATGATGATGATGATGATGATGATGATGATGATGATGATAATAATAATAATAATAATAATAATAATAATAATAATAATAATAATAATAGTAAAGTTGGAAGGGACCTTGGAGGTCATCTAGTCCAACCCCCTGCTCAGGCAGGAAACCCTATACCATTTCGGACAAATGGCTGTCCAGTCTCTTCTTAAAAACTTCCAGTGTTGGAGCATTCACCGCTTCTGGAGGCAGGTTGTTCCACTGGTTAATTGTTCTAACTGTCAGGAAGTTTCTCCTTAGTTCTAGGTTGCTTCTCTCTTTGGTTAGTTTACATCTGTTGCTTCTTGTCCTGCCTTCAGGCGCTTTGGAAAATATTGGAAAGAATGCCAAAGAAGATAAAATTGGAGCAGGATTTAAACCCCAGTCCAGACACGCAACTCCCTGGCTAGCTTTAGGCATATCCCTTTCTCTCTTTTTATTTGCAGAGTTAGGGCACAACTGGGTGGTGCAGATGTATATTTTCTGCCCTGAATTTTTCCAGTGTGTAAACTCTGCTCTGACTTTCCTAGGCTGCTCGGAGATTCACACCTCAGAACTCAGATGGATACACACCAGAACCTTTTGGTGAGTTTGAGAACAGTATTAGCAGACACACCATAAAGATAAAATGTTTATTTTATTGGCAGGGAAGCTCGCAAATGGCATTTACATGACGGCGGCTTACTGTGACATCATAATTGTGAGCCAAGTATCTAATTGCGCAGATTGTGATCATGTGACTGCAGGGATGCTGCAACAGTCACAAGTTCATGGATCAGTCATAGATTCCCCCCTCATTTCCCCTCATAATTTTGATGGTTAACAGAATAACAGAATTGGAAGGGATCTTGGAGATTTTGTAGTCCAACCTCTTGCTCAAACAGGAGATCCTATGCCATTTCAGACTTCTCATGAAAAATTCAACATTCTGTGACTCTCTGTTCTTGACACCTTATCACATTGGCAGAGTCAATCAGAAATGAATAAAAGCGGGTAAACCAAGACCAACTCTTACTGGTACTAAGAATTACTATTGCAATCTTCTGTCTGAAAAGAAGACATGACAACACAATTCCTGCAAGGAATGCTGTTCCCCAAAGGGTGGTCAGCCAGCCTAAATTAAAATTAAAAATTCTTATTAGCGTGTTGTTTCTAAGGTCCCATCCACTGTTCAGGCTGCAACTTGTTTTGGAAAAAAGTTTATTGCGCTTTTACTAGAACTCCACAGCATCATGAACCCCAAACATGTGTTTACTTTCTTCTAGTCTCCATGTAACCTCAGGTTGAAAAATTCTCTTTTTGGCTACTTCATAAAAGGCACATTCGAAACTTACTTTTCTTTCCATTAAAAAATAATAATAAAAAAGTAGTACTACCAGTGGCCACAAGAGGGTGTAAAGTAATACACAATATCAGAACAACATTAGGGATCTATTGTACAGTATGTGTTACTTGATCACCCTCTTGTGGCCACTTATGGTGTTACTGTTTAAAAAAATTACAGTACTTCGACTTTAGAAGCTCAGGATAATCAGATTATTACATGGTTAATACTTGCCAGAGAGACCAGCAGCAGAGTAATGTCCTCCTGTTGGAGATTTGCTTAGTTCTAATTACATTTGCCTTCTGGAAGGAGTTGAACTTTTCTGAAGGGGAGGTATGAAGCCAGTCCTAATTGTTACTAGTGGGTTTTAGGCATTTTAGATCTTTGATCTTTTGTATTATGAAATATAAATAAAATATCTTGTGTTTTTTTTAAGCCCTGGAGAGATTGTTTAGATTGTAGTGTGGTAAAAATTTGACAAATTTTAACACACACACACACACACACACACACACACACACACACACACACAAATGCTCCTTGTGGCCAATTAGATGTTTCTTGGGGTGTTCACAAGTAGGAAACAAAGTTTTTCCCCAGCGTTGTTCTCCTTCAGTCATAGTTGGAGGCCTGCTGCCTTCAACCCAGAAGTATTATGGCATCTTCAAGCCTCATATCCCCCATGGATTTAAGTCACCCAAGTCCCTACTTGAAATCCTGAATTTGCTATTGAAGAAAGTGAGAAGAGCTTGAATAGAAAGGAAGCCATAAGGCATTGTTAGAAGGTTCAAATATTTTAAGGTCTCTAAAGGTCTGAGCAAAGATCCAAGTAAGCTCAACAGATTGTTCCAATACCCAATTTTGCTAACATTCTGATTCCCCTTAGATTTTTGCAAGATGCCTCACAGACTTGTTATTTAATCCCAGCATTTGGTGATAAGAAGACTATTGCTGTGATTAACCAAGGTTCTGTTTCATTTGAATGAAAAATAATTGATTGGCATACTCTTCAATCTTACAGGAGCCGAGGTCACTAATACAACATGGGGAGCTTGAACTGAGCCTAGGAGGGGGGGGAATTGTGAAATAAGGAAGGGGATCTTCAAACATGAAACCCACAATTAATCTACTTCAGTGATGGCGAACCTTTTAGAGACCGAGTACCCAAACTGCAACCCAAAACCCACTTATGCATTGTTGGGTGCTGGGTGGGTGTGGCCCATTGGCTGGGTGTGGCCCACTGGGTGGGCGTGGCCCGTTGGCTGGGCGTGGCTGCGGTGGTAACGGCAGACTGGGTGGGACTAAAAAGTTCAATCAATCAATTCCAACTTTGCAAGATCTTTTTTTTCCCGTGAGAATTTGAAATTGACTGATTGATTAAAACTTTTTTTTTTGCACTCGGCGGTGGAGGCCTAAAGTGAAAAGGTTTTATAAAACCCAGCTGAAGGCCTAGGACTGGGGTGATGGCGCGCGTGCCCACAGAGAGGGCTCTGAGTGCCGCCTCTGGACCCGTGCCATAGGTTCGCCACCACTGATCTACTTTACTTTCTTGGGGACCGAATAGGAGCAGGGAAGAAGAATCGAATTTTGCCCATGGATACCTCATGTTATGAAAGCCCATACAGTGATCCCGAAGAGCTGAAGGATCGGAAGCTATTCTTAAAAAGGAGCAGTCTGATCATGGATGAAGTGGACCTGGGAGAGGGCAACTTTGGGTGTGTCAGGAAAGGAGTTTACAAAATGAGGAAGTAAGTGCATGCCGTGTTTTTGCATATATTTCTCTTAATGTGCTGAGACAGATCTGTGCAGTTTTCAGAAGTTGCTATTCCCTATGGAAAAAAATCTAATTTTGTTTTGTTCGTCTTTTGGGGGGAATCCTTAAATTTGGAGGTAATTTGGCAGTGGCTGTCTTAACTTGGTGGAGGGAAAGAAGCTATGGTCCTTTTTTTTGCCCCCAGAAAGCATTCCTAGGCCCCTCTTTCCAAAATAGCAAATAGCATCACCCACTTTAGAAGGATACTTTTTTTATTATTATTAAAAGTTTTATAAAAATTACAATATGAATCCCCATACCCACCCCAAAACCCCCCCTCCCTCCCCCCACTTCCCAGAGCTGAACACAGGGTTACAAATATAATAATCATAATCTAACTAACATTAACCAACTATTTAAATAACCAAGTCCATAAAGTGCTTTAACTCCCTTTTAACAAAAATTTAAACAAGTTAAAATTAAACACTATAATAAACAAATTAACAACCTAATTACTAAACAATACAATACAATACTAATACTAAAAGTAATAATATCATATAATTAAACCTAAGAAAAACTCCACTATAATAAACTATTAGTAATAATAAATCTAATATTCACTCATAGGCCAAATGGAACTTTTTAGTCCCATATTTATTCTGAATATAATCTATCCATCTTCTCCAAACCGAAGTGTATCTTTCTTGTGAATGATCCTTCAAATAAGCAGAAATCTTGGCCATTTCTGCTAAATTTGAAACTTTAAGCGTCCATTCTTCTATAGTAGGCAAGCAATCCTTCTTCCAATATTGCCCTACTAATAACC